CACTGGTCGCCTGGTGATAGATACCACTTCGTGGGGCGCTGTAACGGGGAGAGGTTAGGATCCGTGTGCGAGGCGAGGCGACGCGAGGCATCTATCTCTCTCGCGCTCTCTCTCTTTCTTTCTTTCTCTTTCAGTCTCTTGCTCTCTCTCTCTCTCTAGCTCTCTCTCTCTCTCTCTCTCTCTTTGGTCCCTAGAGACGCCCCAGGCCTCCTATTCACACACGCGGAGTAGTGGCAGTGTATCTATGTCCCGTAGAGATGGTCCTGGCCTCCCACTTCACACACGCGGGGTAGTGGCAGTGGATCTATGTCCTGTAGAGACGGTCCAGGCCTCTAACTTTACACACGCGGGGTAGTGGCAGTGGATCTATGTCCTGTAGAGACGGTCCAGGCCTCCCACTTTACACACACGGGGTAGTGGCAGTGTATCTACGTCATGTAGAGACGGTCCAGGCCTCCCACTTCACACACGCGGGGTAGTGGCAGTGTATCTACGTCCCCTAGAGACGCCCCAGGCCTTCCACTTCACACACGCGGGGTAGTGCCAGTGTATCTACGTCGGCTAGAGACGGTCTAGGCCTCTAACTTTACACACGCGGGGCAGTGACAGTGGATCTACGTCCCCTAGAGACGGTTAAGGCCTCCCCATTCACACACACGAGGTAGTGGCAGTGGATCTACGTCCCCTAGAGACGGTCCAGGCCTCCCCTTCACACACGCGAGGGTAGTGGCAGTGTATCTACGTCATGTAGAGACGGTCCAGGCCTCCCACTTCACACACGTGGGGTAGTGGCAGTGGATCTACGTCCACTAGAGACGGTTCAGGCCTCCCCATTCACACACGCGAGGGTAGTGGCAGTGTATCTACGTCAAGTAGAGACGGTCCAGGCCTCCCCCTTCACACACGTGGGGTAGTGGCAGTGTATCTACGTCCCATAGAGACGGTCCAGGCCTCCCCTTCACACACGCGGGGTAGTGGCAGTGGATCTATGTCCTGTAGAGACGGTCCAGGCCTCTCCTTTACACACGCGTGGTAGTGGCAGTGGATCTATGTCTTGTAGAGACGGTCCAGGCCTCCCACTTCACACACGCGGGGTAGTGGCAGTGTATCTACGTCATGTAGAGACGGTCCAGGCCTCCCACTTTACACACGCGGGGAAGTGGCAGTGGATCTACGTCACCTAGAGACGGCCTAGGCCTCCCACTTCACACACGCGGGGTAGTGCCAGGGTATCTACGTCCCATAGAGACGGTCTAGGCCTCCCCCTTCACACACGCGAGGGTAGTGGCAGTGTATCTACGTCCCCTAGAGACGATTAAGGCCTCCCCATTCACACACACGAGGTAGTAGTAGTGTATCTACGTCCCCTAGAGACGGTCCAGGCCTCCCCCTCACACACNTTAATGGATCTTTTCAGATTCCGTTTAGGTATTGCATTCACCATTCTGACACGGAACCAGCTTTTTACGCAGTTGACACAGACAGTGCTAACCTGTGTGGAACACAGTTAGCGATTGATTTAAAAGATGAGAGGATAAATTTAATAATTGATGAAATAATAATGCAAAATAAAATGTCTGACACGTGAAAACAGGAGAAAAGGTGTTGTAGAAACCAAATCGTGGACCTTCTTTGACGTCACACCTTTGCAACAAAATCCTTTGCCCTACAATATCGATTCCAGAACACGCTTGATATAAAAAACAATTCGCGTTGATTGGTTCAATTGTCTTTCGCCGTCACGTCAGCCGGCAAAGTCAAACTTCTTTTCGCGCATTTGTTTCATTTTCGGTAGGTGGCGTGTATCTTGACGTCCCCTTAAGAGCGCGTTCCAGGTCCCCTTTACACACATGGGATAATGGCAGTGATTCTACTCCCTTAGAGCGGTCCAGACCTGCAACTTCACACACGCGCGGGTGAGTGGCCAGTGGATCTACGTCCTTTCGAGACGGTTCAGGCCTCCCTTACACACGCGGTGGTAGTTTGCGGTTGATCTACGGTCTTCCTAGAGACGGTCCAGGCCTCCCCAATTCACACACGCGGGGTAGTGGCAGAGAAACTAAAAAACTGTAATCCATGTCCCCTTAGAACGGTCCAAGCCTCCATTCACCGCGCAGGTAGTTGGCAGTAGTTATTCGACGTCCTGAGACGGTCCAGAACCTTCCTTTCACACACACGCAAGGTAGTGGCAGGTGGATCTATCGTCCCCTAGGGGACGGCCAGGCTTCCACTTCACACAGCGGTGGTAGTGGCAGTGTATCTACGTCCCTAGAGACGGGTCCAGGCCTCCCACTTTTACACGCGTCGAGGTAGTGGAACGTGTATCTACGTCCCTAGAGACGGTCCAGGCCTCCACTGTCACACACGCCGGGGTAGTGAAGTGGATTCTATGTCCTGGTAGAAGACGGTCCACCAGCCGCCTTCCCCTTCACACACGCGGGTCAGTGGCAGTGTATCTACGTCCCCTAGAGACGGTCCAGGTTTCCCTTTACACACGCGAGGTAGTGGCAGTGTATCTACGTCCCCTAGAGACGGTCCAGACTTTCCGCTCACACACGCGGGGTAGTGGCAGTAGATCTACGTCCCCTAGAGACGGTCCAGGCCTCCCCTTCACACACGCGAGGTAGTGGCAGTGGATCTACGTCCCCTAGAGACGGTCCAGGCCTCCCACTTCACACACGTGGGGTAGTGGCAGTGTATCTACGTCCCATAGAGACGGTCCAGGCCTCCCCCTCACACACACGAGGTAGTGGCGGTGGATCTACGTCCCCTAGAGACGGTCCAGCCCTCCCCTTCACACACACGGAATAATGGCAGTGCATCTACATCCCCTAGAGACGGTCCAGACCTCCCACTTCACACACGCGGGGTAGTGGCAGTGGATCTACGTCCTGTCGAGACGGTTCAGGCCTCCCCCTTTACACACGCGGGGTAGTTGCGGTTGATCTACGTCCCCTAGAGACGGTCCAGGCCTCCCCATTCACACACGCGGGGTAGTGGCAGTGTATCCATGTCCCCTAGGGACGGTCCAAGCCTCCCACTTCACACGCGCAGGGTAGTGGCAGTGTATCGACGTCCCCTAGAGACGGTCCAGGCCTTCCTTTCACACACGCAAGCTAGTGGCTGTGTATCTACGTCCCCTAGAGACGGTCCAGGCCTCCCACTTCACACACGCAAGGTAGTGGCAGTGTATCTACGTCCCCCAGACACGGTCCAGGCCTTCCCTTCACACACGCGAGGTAGCGGAAGTGGATCTACGTCCCCTAGAGACGGTCCAGCCCTCCTCTTCACAACGCGAGGTAATGGCAGTGGATCTACGTCCTCTAGAGACGGTCCAGGCCTTCCTTTCACACACGTGGGATAGTGGTAGTTTATCGACGTCCCCTAGAGACGGTCCAGGCCTCCCACTTCACACACGCGGGATAGTGGCAGTGTATCTACATCCCCTAGAGACGTTCCAGGACTCCCACTTCACACACGCGGGGTAGTGGCAGTGGATCTACGTCCTGTAGAGACGGTCCAGGCCTCCGCCTTCACACACGCGGGGTAGTGGCAGTGTATCTACGTCAATTAGAGACGGTCCAGGCCTTCCCTTCACACGCGAGGGTAGTGGCAGTGGATCCACGTCCTGTAGAGATGGCCCAGGCCTCCCCCTTCACACACGCGGGGTAGTGGCAGTGTATCTACATCCCCTACAGACGGTTCAGGCCTCCCGCCTCTTACACGCAGGGTAGTTGCGGTTGATCTACGTCCCCTAGAGACGGTCCAGGCCTCCCCATTCACACACGCGAGGTAGTGGCAGTGTATCCATGTCCCCTAGAGACGGTCCAAGCATCCCACTTCACACGCGCAGGGTAGTGGCAGTGTATCGATGTCCCCTAGAGACGGTCCAGGCCTGCCACTTCACACACGCGGGGTAGTGGCAGTGCATCTACATCCCCTAGAGACGGTCCAGGCCTCCCACTTTACACACGCGGGGTAGTGGCAGTGTATCTACGTCCTGCAGAGACGGTCCAGGCCTCCCCATTCACACACGCGGGGTAGTGGCAGTGTATCTATGTCCCCTAGAGACGGTCAAAGCCTCCCACTTCACAAACGCATGGTAGTGCCAGTGTATCGACGTCCCCTAGAGACGGTCCAGGCCTCCCACTTCACACACGTGGGGTAGTGGCAGTGTTTCTAATGTCCCC